TGGTGGTGATAGTGGTGATAGTGGTGAAGGTGGTGGTGCTGGTGGTGATGGTGGTAGGAAAAGCAATAGCTTTCTCCATTCACTTTCCCCTTCTACAGAGGCTAGCTTACATATTATTTAGGAAATAAAGAAATCAAGGGAGTATGGGGATTTGAGGGGCCCAGCATAGGAAAGAAAACAGCCTTGATTATCAATGACTTCCAGCAGCCTCGGCTGGGTTAATGACCAGCACAGGTAACAGGACACTTAAAATATCCCACTTCGAATCCAGTGCACACGACTAACCATGTATCATCATGGAATAAAGGATTTAAGAGACATGGGTGCAAAAGTGGCAGTGTCCAAGAAAGGGTTTGCGTGTAGCATGTCCACTGTGTCCCCTTGGCAGGTGTCCTCAACAGCACAGTCACGATGCTTGCTATTCACGGGCACGCTGACTCAGGAAGGACCGAATGCTGGCACTGCAAGCCGCATGCCTAACTTGCAAACTGGATTTAAGACAGCAATGTGTCTGGGTTTGTAATCAGGAGTATCAGCATGATAGGGTCCATCTTTACCTGACCCAACAGGTATACTGCAGGTACTCAGGAACCTGATTAGAAAATGATCTTATCCAACAAAAGAATCATTTGTTTTTCATAGTTAATGCTAATCAGTTATGCAAGCACATGGTGTCCTTAAGCTTGCTGCAAACAAAATGCCCAGTTATCAGCCATGGGGCTTCCCCACCCCCATCCGTGCTTCTCCACATGGACCTGTGTGATGCTGTCACAGGCCACCGTGTATGTGCTCATGGGCATTCTTCATAGACCGCCTGCGGCTAAGTTTGGAAGAGGCAGATTTTTTATATCATTTAAGCCGCAGCAACACATACACATTTAAAATAATCAGGGACTAAGAAAGCCCCACATTCACGGGAATAAAGGCAACAATAAATTGGACTTACCAGTTGAGGTTGTTGGAGGCAGCAGAGGAGCAAGTTGTTGGTAATTGTCCAGCGCTTTCATTCAATAAATCACATTGGCGTTGCTTTCTCCTGTGGCTCAGCCTCTGCGCAAAGCACGCGAACCTCCTTCCTATTCTGTGTAAAGAATAAAATGCGAACAGGATCACTCCAGGCAAAAGCTGAAGTCAATGATCACTAAGCTCCTCTTAATGTGAAAGAAAAGAGCAAATGATGCACAGGGGGAGAAGGGGAGAGGGAGACAGCGTGGCTCAGAAAGTAGGTGGATTTCAGGACTGCAGCCCCGGGAAGGCTTGATTTCTCAAGCTCTTGTGTGTGTAGGAAAAGGGTGCCATGACTTCAGTGTGCCTTCAGCCTATTGTGTCTGTGAGGTTAGGAACAGCATGCAGGGACAAGATTCATGACCAACAAGACTGAGTCGAAACCGATTGTCACTCAAAGATGAGCGAAGGGGCGGTGAGGGAGCCAGTTAGCTTTGCACTACATCAACTGCAGGGAAAGAAATACCTGGCATTCAGGAGCCCATCCAGCAATGTGACTGCAAATGATCTACGTGTATAGCTTTCCTGGAGCTAGCCACCCCCTCAACTCCCACGGCAGCCTGGGACCAGATGCACACAGGTGGCAGCCACATCCCTTCACCTCAGGGCACCTGTGCAATTCTTTACAAGTTCCCAGCAGGAGCGAAGGGCTTTCTTAAGAAAGCTCCCAATCCAGGTGAGGCTGCCCAACCAATGCTTGAGTTTTTGTCCGAGCAGGTTCCGAGAAAGTAGTCTGCACAACTGGGACTCGGGACACCAAGAGGCTCAGCCTTAGGAGGAAGATTCCAGTGCTTCCACACACATGTGCGCACCTGGCTCCTTTCAGGGCGTTAGGCTTTGCGTGACTGAGAAGACACACAGAATGATTTCCTAGAAAGCTGCTAATGTAGGCATTTTTCAGGTTTCTTTCTGAAATAAATTGGCAAATGACCTTCACAGGCTGCTTATTACATTAGGGAGTCATTGCTGATGGAGAGCACATATGAATACCACACACACACACACACACACACACACACACACACACACACACGTCCCTAGCAACAGCATTAACAATCTTTCTAAAGCTCTGTTCAGATTCTCTCTCTGCCAAAAGAAAGCTTAGCGGCTGTGATGACTTCAGAAATCATCTTGGACCCTCCTGCTAGGCACCGACTGTGATCTGTTATTTATACCTGGAGCCAAATCAACTCCCCAGCTTTGAATGTGACTCTGGAGCAAATCAGGAGATAGTCTCTTGGTTATAACCAGGAGGGTAGAACGTTACTCTTTGGCCTGGTAATGCAGAATCCTGGGAGTGGCATCTTATATTCCTGAAAGTCCCCCCCTTTCTGGAGACAGCATCTCACCTGGCAGCCCACTCATCCCTGACAGGCGCTGTCTGGAGCTGGGATCTCAGGCAAGGCTCACTGACTCATCAAGCCTGGATGTCCAGAGGAGGAGCTCAGTGTAGCTTTTCACAACTGTCTTCCTTTTTCTTTCTCATACGAAAGGCGAACACCTCTCTGGAACATTTTTTTCTCTTTTTCTCCTTGGACTTACTTGTCCATGGAAGCATTGCTACAGATAATCTAATTTGGGATTATTCATGCTCTTGAGGTTCGGAAGGCTATTTTTTTTTTTCTATCAAGGATTAAGAAGAAGTCACACTAACCATTCTCAGCTAAGCCTAAATGGTTGCCAGGTAATACTTTACCCTTACCTGTAGAAAAATTTGGGCTTTAATGCAGATTTGCTTAAATTTCATCGGCTGGGGTAAGCCTGGGGACTCTGAGTGATTCTACCAAGGTTAGGAGCTGCCTCACAGGGGTCATAGTTCAATATGCCTTGCAAACCTAAGGGGATGATGCCCCCTGGAACAGGAGCCTTGCTTCCTGGAGCGCATGCTCAGTCTGAGTTCTTTCATAAGCTCACATCTATTGCAAACGAGATACATTCAGGTATCCATTCATTCATTAATCCACTTGTTGTTAGCAGACATGTATTAAAGTACTTAGTAGGTTAGCTACACTGAGCCAAATACTTTTATGGTACCAAAAGCCTGTTGATGAAATAGAAACTCTTTGACATACTTCAGCAAAATTCTCCCTCACCTGGCTCTGCCTACCTCTCGCCTAATTTCTTGCAACCTTCTTCCTTACCCTCCAGGCTGACTTCCTGAATGCCTTTCAATTCCTTGGACATGCCACGCTCTCTCTAAACTCCAGAATTCTGCATATGATATTTTTTGCCTAAACATTCAGTCTCTTTTGTCTGATTAACTCATGTCCTTAGAATCTTGGCTTAACTATCACCTCTCAGGGCTATTTTTCTAGCCCCTGAGCTGTGAGGTTCCCTGCTCTGTGATTCTATAGCAGCTTCTACCCTCCCATCATTATTTTGTTGCATTTATTTGCTTAATATCAGTCGTCCCATTATACTATAAGAGTTCAAGTGCAAAGTTTCTTATTCACTGCTCTATGTCTTGTGTCTAGCAGAGTTCCTGGCACACAGAAAGCATTCAATATATATTTAGTAAATATGTTGCCGAAGTGCTTTGCATGTACTGCGAACGAATGAATAAACCATCTCAAAGTATAATGGGGGTTTGAAAATTGAAAGGAACCCTAAAGTTCACTTGGCACATCTAATTTTTCTTGCCAAGTGGCCATCCATAAAAGGCTTGCCTCCTCTGATTATTCCTTCTGGACTAATCTCAACCCATACTGGTGACACACTTGCTTTGTCCCCACCCCCAGCACTTTTATAGCACGTTGTTGCTTTTGGATCTCTAGCTGTTTCCTGCAGTTTGTCTCATCTTTACAAACTGGTGTCCCCCATAATTCCTAGCTTAAGTCTGCAAGGATTCGCTGCTTGATGCATCCAACAGCAAACACTGTGAACAGGGAATTAAATGACCAGTCTTGCTTTAGGAAGATCACCCTGGTAATGTGGGAAGGCAGGCCTGGATCGGCCAGACCTAGGCGGGACTCTAGTAGTGACCACAGCACAGGATAGGATTCAAAAGCAGCCTTGCCTTTGCTTTCCCTGCACCCCTCCCCGTTTACCCCACCTTCCATATCTAACACCCACCAGTGTTCCCATTTGGAACACTGAGCATGTTTGTTCCATACTCAGCACTTCCTCTCCACCCAGTTCCACCCTCTCACTTAACTGTTCACCTGCTTAGGTTATTTGTGAACCTGTCTCACTGATTAAAGTTCCTCTAAAGAGAGAGGTTGCACGTTGGTTATTTTGTATCTTCCTCCTCCAGCCCTTACAGTTTGTATCTTACAGATAATAAGTGCTCAATAAATATTATGAAAGAAAAGCACTTATTATATGCAAAGCATTTGATGAAGCTCTGTGGGGAGGTGGGGTACAAAGATGAATGAGGCATCTTTTCATAGATAAAAGAGATCTATTCAGTGAGAGAGATGCAACTTCTAATATAGGGCTGAATTAAATTAAGTGTCATTAAGGCCGGCCAAGTGGCACATTGGTTAAGAGCTGGCTTGGGACCCCATCTCTGAGCAGCAGGACCCCGGTTCGGATCCCACATGGCGGCCAGTGACACTGCCCTCTACAGCTAAGATGGTAAACAACAGCTCGACCTGGAGCTGGGCTGCCGTGAGGCCCCGGTGATGGCATAGGCTGCAGCCCCTGCTGCACTGGGTTGCCACGGGCTACCGTGTGTAGCCAGCAGCCAGCGTGAGTGGCTGGCAGCCAGCAGCCAGCGTGAGCTGCCAAGAGCCGCAGTGAGCGGCCGTCCAGAAGCCGGCGACTGATCTGCCTCGCCCGGGAAGAGCGCAATGATGGTGCCAACATGGGCCAGTGAAGCGACATCCTCCACAACTAGACTGAAGAACAAAATGACAGCAACTTGTCTGTTCCCCTTCCCTGATTCCCCAGCGCTGTTTCCCTTCCCCAATTCCCCAATAAAATCTTAAAAAAAAAAATTAAGTGTCATTAAAAAAAAGTTACGAGTATGTGCTAAGGGAGCACCACAGAAGCATCACTTCCTTCTGGGATGCTTATGGAGGACTGACAGAGAAGGTTGCATTTTAACTGGACCTGGAGGAATGAAGGCCTCTAGGGGTTGAAAAAATGAGAAGGGAATGGAGTCAATACACAAAGTTCCTGGAGTATTTGGGAAATGACAGTAGTCCAGCTGGGCCGGAGTAAATGGTGATGGAAGCACCTAAAGGAATTCAGGTTCCCAAAGTCGGCAGAAGCTAAACTGGTGAGTGCTTGAATCTTATGCCGAAGAGTTGGGACCCCATTATGTAAGTGACAGGGATTTGAGCAGGAGAGTGTAGGAAGGTGTCGCTGATTAAGACTCCTCTGGTCTAGCCATTGTGGACCATGAACCTGGAAGCAGGAAGACATTGATGGTGACGGCCCGTGAAAATGTAAATTAGGAGGTGCATGTGGGAGGCAGACGGTATAGGATTTGTCAATGGTACAGGTGAGAGCAGAGGAGAAAGTGCGAGAGAGTGAGAAAGAAGCTGACTTTTAAAGTTTTAACCTGTGTGATGGCAGATGATGGTAACATCCGTCGATCCCAGCACACAAACACAGATAATTTAGGCATTCGTGCCATGGTCTGAGCACCTTTTGAACATAGAGAAGAGAGCAGGAGACTCGGTCCATGTGAACATGCCTGAACTGCTTTGAAGAAGCCATTTAGTAGCAGCTGAAGAAGTCATTTCAGGCTGTGACAGATGAACTACCTCTGGCAACCCGCAGGGCCATTTGCAGGGGAATAGGCGTCGCGTTTCCTTAGAAAGAGGACTCCCAGATTAAATGTGAGGGTTCGCAGTTTCCCATTTCGGAGCTGTTTAGCCCAGTTTCTGAGATGAGGCGCCCGAGCTTGAGTCCTTGAGCTGCTCCTCACCAGCTGTGTGACCTTGGGCAAGTTACTTTCTACCATGAGGTCTCAGTTTTCCCAGTTATAAAATGAGGGAGCTGGGCCAGTTCAATTCAAAGGTTCCTTTTAGTTCACTGTTCTCTGATTTGTGAACTGCCACATTTAGAATTTCAGGATACTTGTGAAATTAGGCCAAAGCCCACCGACGTCAGCAGCTACCAGTGTCC